TGGATTCCCAAGTTTTCATTGCTGCGATTGTTTTCGAATCCCGCAATCTTAGCTTCTACTGATAAAATCAGTTAAAGGGGAAACAATTCTTTAACTTTCAATAGCTAGTGTTCAAATTAAGAAATTACTGTTCACAGATTAAAGTGCTTCAAAATAAAACTGTCCGTGTTTTCAACTTTATTCCTTGATGGTGTAGCCCAACATATCATATCATTTTGGAATCAGGCCGACTCCGAGAGCAAAATAAAAACATTTAAATCCGGGCCCGCAATCCTGAAATTTTGGATTCCCAAGTTTTCATTACTGCGATTGTTTCCGGCATTTTTTTAACGTGATTTTTGCGCCGAATTTTTTGTACCTTAACAATTTTTATAACTTGGAAACAAATTTGGGAATAATCGAAATTAATGGCAAAATCCATCAGTAGTTACCCATGAAATAAAATAATTGTTTGTACGGAAACTAAGGACCATCATACATCAAATTTTCTTTAAATTAAGTAGCAGCAGTAGAATTATCGTAGAACTTTTAAAAGGTAAGCTTAAATATTAATGCAATACTTAAATGCAATGGTCAATTTTGAGTTCTTCTGTAGCTTATTGTTGCCTATCAAATCTACTCCTCCCTACCTATTATGATGAAGGCCCATCAGGAGCTGGCTTAAATACTGCCCGATATGGCGGCTTTTCAGCTGGTATACATATATATATATATATATATATATATATATATATATATATATATATATATATGCATGGATAAGAATAGATAGATAGATAGATAGATAGATAGATAGATAGATAGATAGATAGACGTAGAGTAATAGTTAGCGAGACTAGACTGGCCATTGCTACTGATAAATAGACAAATAAACAGGTATAAAAACAGACTATTGTCAGGTGGTTAAGAGCAGATAGTAATAAATGTATACATGTATATGGACAGATATGTTAGATATAAATTGATGAACTAATGGCAAGTCGCTAGCTTAAAGCTAGTGTCTAATAAACGAAAATGAGTAAGTGATGTTATTGAACTTTTTTTTAATGTAAATTAGTATTTAAATTATTTTAGTTTGGGATTAATTCATGTATTGTATAGTTTGATTAACATGAGGTTATGAATTTAACCATATTTTTTTTTCATTTTTAACATTTTTATTGTCATGTATGTTGTCTTGGGAAAGTGATAATACTTTCAGGAACAGAGATATTGGGAAAATCTGGGACGTAAATTTATATTTTGATAAGATTCGTAGACGTACTCACAATCATATTCCTTCGAAGTAAGTTACTTTCTCTCTTTTATAAGTGTGGCATTCTTTAGATCAAAATTATTGTTGAATTTATTTTTATGTATAACTAATGCATTTGATAAATTATTGTGCATAAAATCCCTTTTGTGTTCTGATATGTCCCGGAAAGAGATATATTGAACGAAATAGCTAAGTGGTTTTGGCTACTATAACCAAGTAGAATACGGTAGTAGTAATCGACTGGTACGCGTCGTAGTCGCAGGTAAGAAGTGTATATCAATGGCGTAGTCCAATGGGCGTCGATATAGACTTAGCTCTCAGACTAAGGCTCTTACTCTGTCGTACCTACACGTTTGTCGGTATTTATGACGGACACCAGCCAATCATATTCCAGGGGGAACACAGGTGTACACATATTCCATTACATCATGTTCATAAAATCTTTTTTAAAAATTTCTGCCGGTTTCACCAATGTATTGTGAAGAGCATTTCTGTATACTTTATTCAAAATTATTATTGTTATGGGAATTTGTGATTCTGATCATATACATAATAGTTTTCGATGGAGTTAGTAGGTTGTATTATGTGCCTGTTTTTTATTTAGTTTATTGCTAATAATGTTATCTTTTTGCGGTCGTATATTTTATATGCCTTTCTCTTAGCATTATTGATGAAATAATAAGGATATTGGAGGTTTTCGAGAGGGTTTTTCTATGTTTATGTAAATATTGGGGACTGAGGATTTTTAGTGCCCTTAAATGGAATCCTGTAACCATTCTAGATTTGATTTTATTATAGTGGTCATATTAAAGTAGTCATATATTTGTTTTTGATGTCTATGTTTTTTAATATATTTAAAAGATCACCAGAGTTTTTATCTGCGAGGAGCTAACTGTACCAAAAAATTAGTGGTTATTCATACCAAAGTTACAATGTCAGCTCTGGAATAATTATAAATGGGAGACCATTTGAGAATATCAGTCTCTGTAAGCTTGGATGTGATCGTCCACGCCCTAAAGGGGCACGATATATAAATCAAGAGGTGTAAGTTTAAATGAAAAAAATATTTATTTAATGTGTAATTGTGGTAGAAGGAAAGTCTTATCGTTTACATTTCGAATTCCAGTCGAATCCATTACATTCACTTACATGCTTTGGAAAGATACCCTTTGGAAAGATATGAATCCCCTTCTTCTCCCTCCATCTATGGGTAAATAGCAGGACAGATCGAAATTGGAACCTACTGCGGGAAAAAAATCTGCCTCGTCAGTCATGTATCTTTCGATACATGGTCGCCTAAGCGTGAATCACGCGTAGCCCATAACTGACTGACTGACCGTTTTCTGTAGCTGAAATGGATTCATCTCCCTAGCATCTATATTGTAGTCAAGTCATAGTTGATTTTGAGGGATAAAAAAGGATCTTTTTACTTGACCTATAATTATTTATTGTTTGTTTCTTTAGATTTGATAGAAGCGCCAGAAATTATGGAGTATATAGTATTTTCATTAATCAATAAATTACTTAATAAATCAGATCATCTTGTTTCCTGTTGCCTGCGGATATATTACAAGCAGCTATCTAAAAAGAGGATCAGAAGCTAAATTTAATTCGTGTTTTGAGTGATGTTCCCGCAGTGTCTTATCGATCATTCCACGATTGTAGATTGTTCGATATTCAATGGTTGCTCGAATATTGAGACCCTGTGTCAGTCAAATCTAAATATATTAAACAAATTTAATATACGTTGTCTTTGGGTCGATCTCAGGTTTTTGACGTTAATAGAACTAATCGGCACTTTAATAATAATTGTCTATAAGAAAGATTAAACGTCTACGTAATCACGGATATTGAAAATGATCCAAAACATGGTCAGTTATGTGCCATGCGTGATACACGCTTAGGCATATAATCGATACATGACTGACGAGGTAGATTTTCCCCCACGTAGTAGGTTGCCATTTCTTTCTACGGTAGATCAGTTGCTATCCAAGGTTACAGAATCCGGTTGTGTCTTGTTATTTAACAACAGCTGTGGGGAAGAAAAGGATTCATACGTTTCCCAAGGATATTAGCATGTAAGTGAATGGAATGGATTCGATTGGAATTCGAACTCAGCTCTTCGATTCCCCGAGTCGCTGTCCATTACTCCTCTTATACAGGTAGGATGGTAGCAATCTTATACAGGGTGAGCCAAGAGTAGGATTACATTTAGTAGGTATGCACTTGACATTTTTTTTTAAAACATTTTATTATATTTATATTTATTTGTTACAATCATATTTGTTCAAAACTGTTGATGTATATTTGTTTAGCACTTTACTTATATATTTAGCCCAGGTTAATCTCTTAAGTGCTCAAAATATCCTTCTTCAA